ACCAGTTTTATTGGATGATCATTAGTATGTTGTATAATTTTTACCATAATTAGAAATAGACTATTTATAGCCATAAATTCACCAGGACACGATCGCTTCCCCGCACCAAATGGTATGTAAGCTGAATAGCCTACGGAAGTAAAGCTTCCATGCTCATTAAGAAAACGATCCGGCTTAAATTCATTGCTATTTGGCCATAGTTTATCATCCGTCAATATCTGCCATAAATGCTGAACCACTAGTGTCTGACTAGGAATTGGATATTTACCATCTTAAAACAAATATTGAATTAGCAGGTAAATTAAGTAATCGTAATTCATAATGGTGTAAATAGAAATCTAACCTATTGTAGTGTCGGCTAATGTCATATGCGGTGCTCCAATGGGTCCAGTGTTTCTATAGCGCATAGTTTCGTATAGAAATGCCATAACATTATGCAAACATTGTTTGTCGTCCACAACCGGTGCCCTATCGCCCAGTTTATCATTGATCTCATCTCTCATTTTTTGCTGCCAATCGCCATAATATGTCATCAATAATATTAGCCATAATAATGTGCTGTTTGTTGTCTCAATTCCCGCTTTTAATTATAAAACATTTATAAATACAAAATATATAATTTGATAACATTTAATTAATACCTAAATACATGTCCATAACTACGGCCGCAATGTTATTGTCATTCAAGTACTCCAACTCAGGCTTTCCGTCCGCCTCTGCCGTGTGTTGAGCGCCGATAAATAATTTACAAAAGTCCTGACCATTGCTCTCGTTGTAAGTATTTTCACGTTTTTTCAGCTCATTCATTGTGTATTCATAACATTTGCTATATATTTGTTGTAATTTTTGCAACGGATTGGCCATAAAATAACGACTAATTGGTATAAACTCATAAATAGCGTACGTGTTGCTAATATCGTGTCCTACGCCAAAACTAGGGTATTGGAAATTGGCGTACATTTCCTGATCTAACCTAGATTATAAAATTTAATAATTTTAAATATATATAAACTATAAAAATCATGACTTATTTATACTTATGGTTAAAAATAGTTGTATTAAATATATTAATTAGAATTGCGTTACAATAGGAATGCGGTCGAAACGGTCGATCAGTTTCCTCATTGGTTATCATTGATGTTATGATTTCATCGACAGTTGTGTTCACTATTTCGGTAAAATCCGTTGATTTTGTGTATTTTCTAATTATTAATTAATTATTATAATAAAGATAAATATAAAGTAATTAAATCACAAAACCTAATATTGGTGATGGCCATTTTTCTCAGACATTCTACACTTTGCGTGTGACTACTAAATAAAATATCTCTCCGATTGTTTGCGTTGAAAATTGAGCCTAAAATTAATTTTAAAAAATGTAGCTTAGTGTGTTTGTAAATTATAACTAGAATATAATTGAAGCCCGGGTACAAATTTTATCATTAGGTAATAGGGGTAACATTGCATGTTATAAATTAAGTTTAATCTCATTTGACAAAGTTAATTGTTTTTAAAACTATATTAATAATTGTATTTAATTTAAATGTACCAATTAGGATTTGCATTTTGCCTAAACATTCCCGTTTATTAAAAGCTCGTTTAACAATATCCGGATCACCAATAAATATAACAGGTATAGGACCAATCCATAGGGTGACCACCGGTCCATACAGTTTGTATAGTTTTGTCAATTCTTGGTTAGTGTGTTGTTTCATATTTCTAAACACTTTTTAATATAAATTTATTTAATTAAAAATTGATTAAATTATTAATTGAAAATTTAATGCTTTAAGATTATTTACGTAGTATATTGCCAATTAATGGCAATGGTATTGGACCTGGTGGGTAATTAGCGAGCTGAGAGTAAAATCGTGCCAAATAATATGCAAACAAACCAAGTATGATTGCCACAAACAATTGTAGCCATGTTAATCTATTCATAGTAATTTTAATATTTTATTATTAATGTACAAAATTATTGATTTCTATTATTGTAATAAATTATAAATATATTATTAGTAAAATACTCACGTGAACATGGCAATTTATTTAGTTATTGTGAATCTCTATTTACAATAATAAAACTAATAAATAAATTGTATATAAAATTTATCTATTAATTTAATTAATTTAGATTTCTAAATACGCAAAATTAATTAAGTATAAATAACAGATGGTCAATTATTATTTATGTTTTACACAACTATGAAATAAAATAATTTAGTTATAATTAAATATAGATGTAGCCTAAATACCATTACCAGTTAAATACACTGACTTAGAGATGCACGGTTAAAATTGAAAATTTAGTTAACAATTTATTCAACATTACACAATAAATTGAAATAAATGAATAATTTTTAAAAGTATAATAAAATTTATTGAATCAATCGGTTAAGTAATTAATATTTATTGTGTATCTAAGCATTTATAATGATGTTGTTTTAGAGGCCTATTAATATTATCATGGTTATTCACTTCCCATATACAATTGCAAAAATTAGGTTTATTTTTTAATCAATACAATGTAATTTGTGTATGTTATTATACAATGTATGTTAGTCAAGTAATCTAGTTAAAATACCTAATGTATTATTTATTTTAACATTGTTTAATTTTTGTTAAAAGATTATTTCATATTTAATCAAATAATATTTTATTTCAACATTTATAACCTTGAGTATTTTATTTGACAATACAGAATTAAAAATGTCATGTTAAATTCATAATTTTGACAAATACTTCTACAAGTACCGTATTACCCCGCTTATAGGTGCATGCACTTATATGTGAGTTTTCACACAAGGGGTGCACCTAT